GGAGAAAACCGTAGCAGGAAGCTAGCGAAGTCGTAGTATATATCGTCAAATAGAACTGCCCGGTAAACCGTAGGCAGAGAGGGAGAAGAGGACAACAAACGAGGGGCTGTGACAAATATATATATATACATATATATATGTACCCTCAAAAAGAGCTGCCCGGTAAACCGTAGGCAGAGAAGGAGAAGAGGACAACAAACGAGGGGCTGTTTTTTGCATGCGGAGTCCCTTTGGGCATTGGTTCGAGCCAGGAGTAGCTTTGATGATACATGTACAGCACCAAGGTTTATAGTACACTTTATCCCTATATATCGTATATGTCACAGCCCCGGGGCTGTGACATATATATAGGGATAAAGTGTACTATAAACCTTGGTGCTGTACATGTACCATCAAAGCTACTCCTGGCTCGAATTAATGCCCAAAGGACTCCGCATGCGAAAAACTAAACACTTGTGAGTGTCATGGACGGATGATAACAAGGTAAGAGTACATGCAAAGAATGTGTAGATAAGATATCTTACCGCAAAGCCTGCCTGATGAAGCAAAGGGGCGCCAAGATAACGGGATACAAGGTTTACTAGCAGGACCATATACCTGCTCAACCAAACCAATCAATCACACAGAATAACAAGAGATGCAGAGCATGATGAACAACCAATCAGAAGGGTCAAATACCGGTTTCGCTTACAGTTATGGTGCAGTCATTCTCATTTACTACAGACTATCGCTTGCCATATCCCTCATGTGTGTTAGTGAGTTCACTAAAAGCCTCTCAATCAGCCAGATTGAATTGAAAAAGCCTTAGTGTGAGTATGTTGTAGCTTAGAGCACACTACGGGACCGTCTTCCCCAAAAGCAATGCCATATCATGACTGCATCCATCCGGCCGGACAAGTGGTAAGCATCCACAGATGCTTACAACCCCTCCCCAGTAGGCAGGGGCCACACTGTTCCAATCCATTTCTGAAATGCAGCAGGGCCATCCTCAGCCCAAGAATTTCCAAACGCCTTTCACAACCGCTCCAGGCACTCCCAATCCTCCAAAGGGTGACCGTAACCTTCTTCCCTCTCTGACTGGCAGCTCTTCTACATTCCCGCTGCAATTTATGTCTTTCTTTCAGCATGAACACTACTGTCAGATATCGTTCCCATAGACAGAGTAGATCATTCATGAGACGAAGAATTTTGATAAGTGCCCCGAAGAACTCACCCAACCTCTGCAGATCAATCAAAGGGAGCGACCTCAACGTTTCATACACTTCTGCAATCATTGTACTCCGCCAACAAGAGCACTCTCAAAAGCACATTTATAGAAACACAGTAGGTCATCCATCAGCCCAAGACTCTGATGAGCACCCACCTTCTTAACCCCAAAAAAACGTACGTATGTTCTATTCGAATTACCTCTGGAAATCGGATTTTCAGAAATCGCTTGTTTTTTTCCTGAATAGAACATATGTTCGAGTATAACGTACGCACGTTTGTATTCGAATACAACCTACGTATGTTGTGTGATGATTTTTGTAATAATACTAATATTGATTCTTCAAAAATAATCCAAAAAATCCGAAAAATAAAAAATGGTGTACAACAATGCACTACACACAACTTTTACTGGGCCTCGTCGAAATTCACAACCAAATTCGAGAAAAAAATAAAAACGACAAGGTCGGACGAGGATAAAAATATTTTTCACAGCAGGGACATTCTGTTTACTGCTTTTTCAGAATTTCATTTTCAAAAGAACTCCAAAAAATGATAAACTCCGAATAAAAAGGATGTTTACAAAATTACAACACAAACGACTTTTGCCTGAGGGTCTTGGCGAAATTCCCAACCAAATTCGACATTGAAAAAAAAAAAAAAACGGCGGTACTACAGGCTCTGAAAAGTTGTACCCTAAAACTCCTTATATAATATACGTACGTTGTATTCGAATATAACGGACCCCGTACGTTGTATTCGTATACGAGGTACGTACGTTTTTTTTCGGGCTTAGACGGTAGTGCAACTCACCCAAGTGCTGCAGATAACTCTGCCTGCGGCACACACTGTAGGTCCTCCTCCCCCGGAAGCCGTTGCTCGCATATATATAGACAGTTGGCCAGCATTCGCCGCCCATCCCAAGCAGTCGTTGAACCATCCATGATTGGCTGCTCAGAAAAAATAACAATGCCATATCAGCAATAGGGACACGAATATGTTGATCATAAACTGTATCGTCAAGCAAAATCATTTCATTAGCAACAAGGAAGATCTTTTTCCTTTTTTTTTTAAACAAAGAATTGCATTTTGTATCAACAATGCTGGAAACCGGGTCCACCATAAGATGTACTCACTTGATAATTCTCTCTGCTATGGTCGAGAGAGCCTTAGACAGCGGCATTGATTACCCGATTGGGAGGATTAACGACCCTGGCAGCATTTGATTGCTTCCCTTTGAAAGGATAGACTTCCTTGACTTTTGTGAATTTTGCTCTAGCCTTTTACTCTGTTCTTCACTATTTCACAATCTTTCTAGTTGGAAAAACCAGACTGATCTTATGAGCCTTTCCTCTCTCTCTCTCTCTCTCTCTCTCTCTCTCTCTCTCTCTCTCT